TGAAAATCCTGGTGCCAGCTCATTGCTGGTATAACAGGGTGTGGAATGAAACGTTTCAGGTTGTCCAGGAACTTCAGCTAAAACTTCAAAGGTGAGGGCGGTGGGTGACGATACTTTCTCTTTCTGTTAAGAGTTGGCCACACTGGTCCTTTGACCATCTATAACCATTAACCTCCAGCCTGCGTAAGATAAGGTCAAGATGTTATCCAGAGGAGGTTTCTTTGTCAGACCTGTCCAGTTTCCCACTGGCCAGGTGACTACCTCAGAGCACGCTTGGGTTTGAGCTCTCCTGAAAAGCCTCAGCCGAGAGAGCAGGCTTCCGGCAAAGGGACAAGCAGTGGCAGAAGAAAAAATGAAGCCAATTCTTCACTCCCACCTCTCCCTACCCCCACTAAGTTCAATTCATTCAGTAGCCGAGTAACCATCCTTTATTCTCACTACTAATAAAACCACTCTATGGTGTGTACTACTCAGCGGTATTATGGACTTTCTGGGATGAACTACAACACCATCAACAACAAAATTCCCATCAGTTACCTCCAGTTCTCTAGGGTGGAGACTGGTGTGGTTCTGATCAGTCTGAAGTCTAAAACACTACACGCGGGGCAGCAAACTCAGCTGCCTACAGGGCCCAGGCAGGAGACACAAATAAATGAAGAGGCCTGGGTGGGACTGAAGTGCCCTGGAAAACCCAGGAGCCATATGAAAGGGATAGTTTCCTTTCTTCCAGCCAATAGTTGCCCAGCGTAGACAGATCTCCTTTTTTTCCCCCAGAAAGGCCTAAGATCTACATTGCTTGGCAGTAGGCCCTGATGTTGGAAATATTGCAAGAGTATTGGCTTTTTATTGCAGGTGACACAATCTACTGCAGGTGGTTTAAGCAAAGGTACTTTAATAGAATGGAGAATTGTGTTCCATCCCACCCTCAATCTATATGTTGAAGCCCTGTCCCCTAGTGTAAGTGGATATAGGGACTTTAGGGGTAAGTGAGGTTAGATGAAGTCATAAGGGTGTGGCCCTAAAACAATAGGCCTTGTAAGGAGAGAGATCTTGAGATCTTGGCCTCCCTTTACCATTGAGGACACAGTGAAAAGTGAGCAGGTGGCCGTTTGCAAGCCGGACAGAGAGCCCTCACCACTGGCCCTGATCTCGGACTTCCAGCTTCTACAACTGTGAGCAAATAAATTTCTGTGGCTTCAGTCACACAGATAGTGTGATAGTGGCCTGCGTAGGCTAGGACAGGTCGGTAGAAAGCCTGTAGAATCTCCAGGAGGAGGAGACAGCCAGCCCTGGGCTGCATGGCCAAGAACGGTGCCCAATCTGACTGTGGGGCTGCCCCCTGAACACCATGCCACAGCCCCCCAGTACAGACACCGTGGCTTATGTGGGGTGGGGTGGAGCCCCTGGAAGCAGAGGCATTGGGTGCTACATTACCACTGGGTAGAGTCCTCTGCATTGGCTCTCAGCTCCCATTAGAAATGTTCTGTGATGTGTCTAATGGCTGAGTCCAGATCACATGAGATGTGGTTGGAAGGAAGCACCTAGAAAAGTGCTTTAGTTTCTCTTGTGGAGGGGTGGGACTCCTAAAGCAGGCTGTGTTCAAACCTAGGAAGGATACTTGTGTGTTGCTTATAGCCTGCCATTAATGATCTCTGGCTTCTGATTATTTTCACTGTTTAAACTTCTACTTCCTCTAAGAACTAGAAAAGCCAGGTGATCCTGTCCCTCCCCCTCCTCTCCTAAATTTGTCAGACAGCTGTGTAAGTAACCAGAACTACCAGGGCTGAGATTCTACATAGAAGGGACCTATGATGAGGGGAGCTGGTACTGCAGCCACTTTTTCCCTGGAGGTATTTACTACTATGGACATGGGGAAAGAGGTTGAGAATCTAAACTTTCCTGGGTAAGAGGCCTACTGCCAGGGCACAGAGAAACCAAAGGAATTTTTGGCTGGAGAGACAAACTGGGTACTTCTGAGGCTAATCTCCTAGAGAGAGAGGAGGGTTGAATGTGAACCTGGGAGATGACAGTTTGCTCTTCAAGATATTTAGCAAATTCTAACAGTGCAGGACAAGAGGCAACAAATCAAGGAGAAAGTCCCTGCAAAACAGTTTACCAAAGTCTTGCCATGCCACTGAGATAATGGTTAATGCCCAGGACTAGGAAGAGGAGACTTGGTGAGCACTGAAGGTTCTCAGTTGGAACCCCTGAAAGGCAAATACTTAGGTGAAGCCAAAGTTCTTAAAAGTGAAACCCAGCTTCCATCTGGATCAACCCCTGATTGAACTAGGATAAGCAGGCCTGGAATGGTAGTGCACACCTATAATTCCAGAACTCTGGGAGGCTGAGGCAGGAGGACTGACAGCTGGAGTCCTGGCTTGGCAATTTAGTAACTTAGTGAGACCCTGTCTCTAAATTAAAAAAATGAAAAAGGGCTGAGGATATTGCTCAGTGTGAAGGCCCTTGGGGGGAAAAAAAGATAGGGAAAGAAAAAAGGAGTATCAGTCCCATGTTACCTGTCTTACAGAAAACGGGTAAGTCCTCTCAAGAACTAGGTAACAGAATTTGAGACTATTTTTTTTGTTTCATACACAATGACTGGGATTCAATAAAAATCACAGGGCCTGCCAAGAGACAGGACCGAATAACTGAAAACAAAAAGGAAAAAATGGTCAATAGAAATAGATGCACAAATGAACAAGGTGTTGGCATTAGACAAGGGCTTTAAAATAACCATTATTAATATGTTCAAGACAGACAAAGAAAAGAACAGAGAAAATGGATGAAAAGAGAGATAATTTTACCGGATAATTAGAATCCATTTAACTTCATGATCCAAAAGATTGGGAGCCTAGAGGATTCACTTGACACCCTCACTGACAAAGACATTTTGTGGGTTTTTTTTTTTTGTGGCACTGGGGGATTGAACTCGGAGCTTTGTGTGTGCTGGGCAGATGATCTACCACTGAACTATATTCCCAGCTCAACAGAGATTTTATTCTTTTTTTTTTTTTTGGTACCGGGGATCGAACTCAGGATCTTGCATTTGCAAGGCAGGCGTGGTGCCACTGAGCTAATTCCCTGGCCCTAACAGAGATTTTGAAAATACTGATATGGCTCTGTATAAGCTATAAAATCTCATGGCTTACAATCTTAAAATTTATTTATTTTTAATTTTTATTTTTTTGCTGGGCATGGTGGTGCCCAGCACTCTGGGAGGCTGAAGTAGGAGAATCACAAGTACAATCCCAGGCTGGGCAGTTTAGTTACTCAGCAAGAACTTGTCTCAAACAACAAGGACAACAAAAAACCCACACACATACATGTGTGCATGTGCACACACAAAACTAAAAACACAGAACAAAAAACAAAAAACAAACAAAAAAAGTGCTGGGGATATAGATCATTTCAAAGGCCCTGGGTTCAATCCCCAGTACCAAAAATTTATTTTTATTTTTTGCCATCCAACTTGGCCAATGCTGGTGGCTGTTGTACTTCTCAAGTGACTTCCTTAAGGGATGACATATTATGGGTCCTGAGTTTCACACCATTCCATAAGCTCATTTCTTTAGCACAGGTTCTGTTCACTGGGAGAAAACGTTTTTTTGTTCTTGTTTTTGTTTTCTAAGATAAGGTCTTGCTACGTTGCCCAAGCTCCAGAATAGCTGGGTCTACAGGTACATACCAATACCACCACACCTGGCTGCTAATTATTCTACATACATACTTTAGGGAACGAGTGTGGGGAACATTAGATAAGGTGGTCAGAGGCCTTTCTGAGATAACTTGACGTGTTTGGCATTGAGTGGCAAGAAGACGCCAGCCAAGAGAGGATGAGGTGAAGTGTGGTGGGGAGTAGAACAAATGAAGAGTAAAACGATTTCGTCAGGGTTGGCAACCATTTCTATAGTGAGCCAGAGGGTGCATAGTTTAGGAATGTGAGCCATACAGTCTGTTGCAACTACTTAATTCTAGTGTTAAAGGGCAAAAGTAACCACAGACAATAAACAAATGTGTGGTGGTATTCCTATAAAACTTTCTTTATGAATACTAAAATGTGAATTTCATATAATTTTCCCATGTCACAAAATATTCTTTCCAACTATTTTTAACATGTAAAACTCATTTAAAGTTCTGGTACTACGGTTAAGTATAAGGTGGGTTAAATAAATTAGGGTCAGAGCAAGCAGCCCCGTGTAGGAGAAGGTAAAAATCCTAAGAAAAGCATGGGGTTGGTGGCCCATGCCTGTAATCCTATCAGGCTGTGAGGCTGAGTCAGGATACTGAGTTCTGCCCAGTCTGGAGCAATTTAGTGACTTGGGGAAGACTCTTGTCTCAAAACAAAAAAGGAGTGGAAAGGGCCAGGGGCTGTAGTTCAGTGCTAAGGCCTTGGGTTCAATCTCCAGTGCCACACAAACACAAGGCAAGACTAAGCCCCTTTTTTCTACCAGAGCAGGCCAGGGTACCAAGTCGGTAGCTTGGCAGCTTCCCTACAGCTCAGGGAAAATCCTCAGGTTTGTTTTATTTCCCACCCGCAGTATCAAGAAAGAACAAAAAGGCACACACAAACACCCGGCCAGAAAGTGTCTCGGGAGAACGTGCCCAGGTCGACGCTGACGTCTCCGCAGCGCGCGCTCCGGCTTTTAAAGTTGGGCGCACACCTGCTCGCAGCCGGAGCGCACCTGCCGCGCGGTGCTCCGGCCTCGTCTCGCGAGATCGCTGTGTAGTAGTGGCCCCCACCCCCGCACGGCCACCGAACCCCTCTCCCCGCCCCCTCTCTCCCGGCGTCTCCACCGCCCCCGGGAACAGCCCCGGCCCGGCGCGCTCGCTGGACCGCGCCCCCGCCCGCCGATCGCTCCTCGCACGCACGCGCCCGGGAGTAATTTCACTTTGCCCCGCGAGCTCCCGCAGCCCGAGAGACCCCGCCCCCCGCCAGGTGCGCGAGCAGCGCGCTCCTCCCGCGCCCCCTCCCGCGGGTCCCCTGCGCGTCGGGTCGGGGCGGCTGCGCGCACGGCGCCGCTCCACCAACCCGCGCCCCTGCGAGTCCCCGGCTCCATCCCTCGCGGGCGCCCGCTCCCCCCACCCCGCCTGTGATTGACAGGCAAGATGTCGGTGTGGAGCGAGGCAGGAGCGTCTGCAGCAGCCGTCACCCCCGGAGCCCAGCGGCAGCACCAGCGGCAGCGGCGGCAGCAGCAGAGCGGGGAGGAGACGGCAGCCAGCCGCAGTGGCCGCCGCAGCCGCGCGAGCTCTGCAGACGGCATCTCGAGAACGCGCTAAAGCGCCCCGCCGCGGACCATGCCGTGTCACTACCACGGGGAGGGGGGCAAACTCGCGCTTTTTTGACATAAAAGCAAGCCAGCCAAAAATACATAATTTTGTCCTTCACGGAGCCGGTGTTTAAAGAGTGAGCGCTATTTTCCCTCTCCTCTTTTCCCTTCTTCTTCTTCTGCTCCTCCTCCTCCTCCTC